TCATTCAAGGGTGAAGAGACAGATTGTCACTAAATTCATTGGAATAAGTACTTCACTGAAGATGGTGTTTTAGATTAATCAGTGAATATTAAACATTGTGATACTATTGTGGGGATTAAATGATATAACATGAGAAATTAGAATGTATAGTACATAAAGATTGTTATTGTAGCTAATATGATTAGAATTATTGTCTGATTAGAATACCATCAGATTGGCAAGGTGGTAGTTCTGGGGAGTTAAGTAATCCAGGCTTGGAAAGGTTTTTCTGGTCTGGACGAATTCTCTATCAAAACTCCCACCTCTTTTCTGAGTCAGTGTATACCCATCTATACCAAGCTACTCAGCTTTTTAATTTGCTCAGAATTGGTACAGATATGTAGGAAAGGACTTGAGTATTCCCATCACTAGAATGTCTCACTCTACTTAAATAATCTCTTTGACTTTCTAGTTTACATAATCAGTTTCAACTGGATTTAATTTTTGAGTCATTGTGATCACTTCTGGATGTCCAAAGAAAGTCCATTTCTCAGGCAGGGAGTCTGAAAAAATAGACCATTCTTTGAGACTTCATTGTGACCTGCCATTAGTCTTTCTCCTTGGGTATACATATTGTTACCTTAAAACTTCATTCAAAATTTCAAATCTTCCATAATCTTTTCATTAAAGTTCAGAGCTAATTTATCATTTTCTAAATAACTCCTCAAGAAATTCTAGCAAATAAAGAGTGAAGATATTTGAAGTGACATACTTGACAGTCACAATAAGTAAGAAAAGATTGCAGAAAAAAATATTTTTCTATAAAATCATAATAGCAGGTTTTAGAAGTTATATGAAGATAAACTCATCTTTGTTTTGTTTTTTTTTTGTTTTTTAAATGGGGTATAGCTTAAGAGGAGAAAACAAGGACAGATTATTAGAAATCAATGGCAATTATTTCAGAATCATTCTCAATGTGTTGCTCACCTTTCTACCTCATAATCAGTCACCAAAAGCTTCTAGTACTCTATACTATAGAGTATATGAGTTTTTATATCCTAACCAACTCATCTTCATCCTTATCTTAAAATAAGCCCTCACCACCTAGGGTCCCCCATTTCATCTTTCTTCATTCTGCTGAGGCCACTAGCTTCGTATATTTCTGAAATAGAGGTGGAATCATATCAGTTTACTGCTTAAAACCTCTCAACTTCAATTGTCTGTAGCAGTATTTCACAAAACAAGGTATTTAAACATATTCTTGAAGATATGAACATTATATCATGAAGTTTAAACATTGGGTTTTCAAATGTATCTCTTTTACAAGGAAGATATGAAAAACATTTGCATAGCATAAACTTTAGTTTCTTAATTCTGTAGGCATCTGTGGATATATACTTAGGGGCCTATATATATATATTTTCCCCTCCAGTAACAAATTCAAGAGGATACATAAATAACTTCAGGAGACAAAAACACAACAGCTTCTCCACCCAGGACTGACTGTGAGAATTTTTCTATGGGACATTACATTTCACATCACTCTCAAGGCCTACTTTAAAAAAAAAGGGCAATAACTGTGAGGTTCAATCAAAACCAATCGTTCAATTCCACCTGCCTTTCTGGAGACAGCAGAGTGGACGGGTTGCCTTTGCTCCTGCTTTTCCAGTCCTGCTCTCCTCACAGCTACATCTATGTGGGCTCCCCTTATAGGCCAAGTCATCCCAACTTCCACTCTCTCTGGGGTTTGAGATCAAATGCGCATCTCTAACAATCAAAACTCACTTCCAGGTGTTTGCCTCTAATACCCTTCCTTCCCCATTGAAAGAAACCAATGTTTCTTGGAGATGTGGCTGATTCCAGGCCTGGGGCATTCTAAGTACAAGATGACTTTACAATATTTTGTTATACTACGGAGAAGGTGCTAAACATAGTGATGGAGATATAAACCAGAGACATATGAACCATCTTGAAGGTGCGCTCACAGGTGAAATCTGGGACCAGATGAGCACCAATGGGAGAGAGATCATCAGCATGTGACACCCTCAGATATGACGCCCTCTGAGAAAGACACAGCTCAGCCGTGTAGAATTATGGCTAAGCACACATTACTTGGATCCAATCATGAGGACATATCAGACAAACCCATACTGAGGAAGATTCTATTTGAAAATGTGGGAGGGACTGTACTCCCCAAAATGTCAATCTTATAAAAAGTAAAAGGGTGTGGAAATAGCTCAGATTAAAGAAGGGTAACAAGCATGACAGCTAAATGCTACTTGACCCTAGACAGGTTTTTGTTACAGAGAAAAAAAAATGTTATAAAGTACAGTATTAGGTCTATTGAAAAAAACAAACAAACAAATATAAATATCAGATTGGAGTAAAGCATCCTATCAATAGAGAATTTGCTAAAATTTATAACGGTTCTATGGTTAGGTAAGAGAATATTCCTGTTCTAAGGAAAAACACAATGGAATATCCAAGGGTAAAGGATTCAGCTCTGTGTAACTTATTTCCAATGGTTCAGATTGGGAGACAGAAGGAAAAGCAAACAAGAGAAAATATGAACAGTCATAAATCTAGGTAAAGAGTGTATATGTGGGGGTTTTTTTGGTACTATTTTTACTGTTGCAATTTTTCTGTAAGTTTAACATTATTTCTGAATCAATGAGTAAAAAACATTTCCCTGGTGAGGAAAAGCCTTTGTTAGATCAAATCAATATTTTCTAACTTTTTCCTACCAGGACATTGGTTTCATATAACAGATATAGTTAAGCTACGCAGTAGTTGAGGTGCAATTTGAAGTACCTTAGATATTATGTATGTATTTGGTTATCAATATTTATTGAACTTGCCTCATGTGCCAGATAATGTGCTATCATACGCCTTTTCTCTCCTTAAGAAAGTATACTTGATAAGTATGAGTGAGAATAAATTATTGGAAAAGAAGAAAAGAATTCACAAACAGATTATTAGTGACAGCAAATTATTTATAATAAACTTCATCTCTGTGCATTAGAAACTCATTTGAAAGCCGCTGGCCACATTGACACAACTCAAGCCACTTTTCTGTTTTGATTTGAGGCCCAGAGAAGTGAGGCTCCCATATTGTGTGTGACCAGCCCCTGTTCCTTAGAAACAAAGTTCATACTTTCTCCAGTCTCTTCAAGTATGGAACCCCTCTTTGCCATGTCATTAACTCAGTATTTGTGGTCCTGTTAAACCCTCGCTGTCCATGGTGATACCCAATCCTCCCAGATGGTGGCTGTCAATTTTTGTGAGTGCCTTTGTCTCAGCTTGTAGTGACTGAGTACCATGGGTACCATGCGTTGCCTTCGCATGTGTTATTGAAGGTCCAACTTTCTATTGTCCATTTTTGAGAAACTCATGGAGTCTGGGTCATCAGAGTACAATGGAAAGGACTCTTGGATTTTGACACCTGACAAGTATAAGAACAGATTTAGCTCCGCCACCTAACATGTCAGCAATAGTAGCCAGATTACTTAATATCTCCCTTAGCCAAAACCAGTTTGGCTCAGTGGATAGAGCATTGGCTGTGGACTGAAAGGTCCCGGGTTCGATTCTGGTCAGGAGCATATATATACCTTGGTTGGAGGCACATTCCCAGTGAGGGGTGTGCAAGAGGCAGCTGATCGATGATTCTCTCTCATTGATGTTTCTAACTCTCTATCCCTCTCTCTTCCTCTCTGTAAAAAAATCAATAAAATATATTTTAAAAAAAAATATCTCCCTTAATCCCTTAAACTGGAAATAAGGATGCCATCCTTGTCAGAGGGTGATTGGAAGGATTAAGTGAGATAGTGCGATGCAAATTTTTGCACAGTGTCTTGTACATAGTAATTACCTGGAGAACATTATTCATGCATATTACTTTAGGAAAATAATCATACTTTTTATTTGAACAACTAGCACCAGGATTTCTCTATAGGGTGATATTCTCCTGTTGAAATTCTTCTCGGGGAGCATAAGGCCTGGAGTTATAGATTGGAAGGATCCAGGGAAATGAAAGAGACAGGGAAACCACACTCCATTGTCCAGCAACAGAAGTTAAAGGGTAACACAGTAAGCAAAAGGACAAAAGCAAAGCAAGACAAAAAGTTCAGGATAGCGGGGTCAGGAAAGAGAGCAAGGTTTGTCTGCATGGCTGGTGCCAGAGTTTTAGGAGGTGAGCCATTTAGTGCAAATCCTGAGATGTTTTACTTGCCACAAGTCAGTACCTGATGTCTCTCCAACCCTCCAGTTACATCAGTGCCTTCGGTTAATATTCCTGGTTTTTTGTTTGTTTGTTTTTGTTTTGTTTATAGCTTTGTTTCCATAATGAAAATCGAGGTGAAGGAGATGGATCTCATGCCCAGGCGGCCTTGAGCAGAGAAGAAGGAAAAACAGGTGCTGGAGGGAAGATGCAAGCAAGATGAAGAGCTCTGCAGGAGGAGTAAGTAGGACCCAGAAGAGACCACAAAAAGGAATCTCTGATGAAGCAAATAATCTTCAGGGATAATGGGATAGGAGCTGAATCTCCGTGTGTGGGTTTTATCCTTGTAATGGTGAAAGAAATGGTCTTGCCTCAGAGATCCTAGTGTCCAATATAATTTACACTAGATAAAAATACTTAAACTAAGGAAAGTATAATACAGTCCTATATTTATAATCCCCAAATACATAAAGTTCTGTAAATGCATTATTTTCTTTGGCACCAATACTCTTTAAGTGGAAGGACCTGACTTTCTTTGCTCTTAGGTTACCGTTGTCTCTTTTTATTGACATAGTGGGTACAGTCATCCATATTGCTAAAGAGTTATTGATGTGTTGGATGATGGCGTGCTGCCCAGTCTCTGCTAGGGTTATTGGCCACTGACATATATGTGCCACATGCCCTTAACCCAAAAAGTACTAAATTCTCAAGCCTTCTGCATTAGGGTGTTGGATAACATTGTAAACATAAATTCAGAAAAAAAAAAAAAAAGACATGTTAGATGAGTGAAGAAGAGGGAGGTTACCTTCCAGTGTGTTTCTAAAGCTTAAGTTGGCAGTTTTATCCATGGGCCCCGATTCATACTGGGTCAGACTCAGGCAAAATTCCACATCAGCCGAGGATGGGAGCCTCGCAGTTCTGCCTTTGTCGTGGTTTCCAGGGTTGCGCAGTAATGGTCCCTCAGCAGTCCCGTTGCACAAGGCCTGATGGCTGTTGTACTCCTCCAGTCGGCTGCATATGATCTGCACAAAACACCTGGTGTTAAAGGAGTTGTCACCACCTCTAAGCCAAAGAAGGAAGTAGGGATGTTGAAGTTCCTGGTTGCCATATTTTGATTCCCAATCATCAGGAGGTTAATAGTTCAAAGTAAATTGTTGAAGAAAGCAGCTTTCAGAGGGTTGCTGAGTAAACCGTGAAAGTTAAAATCTAGAAAAGAATTGTAATATTTCATCTACTTAAGAGAACATGTTAAATTCCCTATCAAACGGGGATAATATTAACTACTTGATATAATTGTTGTAAGATATTTATTTGATGAGAAAATTAACATGAAAAATATTTGTTAATTAACTGTCATGTGACGTCACTGGTTTTATGCCCACCAAATCAGGTTTGGTCTAGAGTTTAGGGGTGTAACCTCTTCTTTTTTTTTTTTTTTTTTCTATTTCTGATCTTCTCTGGCTTTAACAACATGCCCATTATCTGATATGAACTCCCTAATTTCTATCTCTAGTCCAAAAACCACTCCTCTGAACTCTAAACCCATATTTTCATCCCTAACTTTATTTTTCAATGTTATCTCACATGTATCTCAAATGAACATTGAAAACCCCAAATCCATTCCTCTCCTTACATTGCCTATTCCACCAACCATCCTGCAGCTCAAACCAGAAGCCCATGAATATTCATGTTTAAGCCAAAAACTGGTGATTTGCTGTTAGATTTTTATTCCCTTTTGTCTTTCACATTGAAACCATCAACCAATATTGTCAATTCTCTCTCCAGAGAATATTTGAATTTAAGAACCAATATCCATTTGTTTACAAATCATATGACCCTACTGTTAAATTCTGATGGGCTATTCTCCTCTGGGCCTAGCATCTGCCTCTCCATTCTGTGCACTTATTCATGCCTATTCATTGTCATGTATCTGATATTCTACCAAATCTTCAAGGCCAAGGCAACATTTTTTGGGGAAAAATAAACCCTATAGATTCAGACTTAAAAATAATTCAAAAGAATCTAACTCTATATATGAAGACACTGTAGGAATCCTCCACTAAATTATTTTGTTTTTAGTTTCCTTTATATATAGGTAGAACAGTAAGTTATGATGAAAATATTTGACTAAATAAGACCAAAGTAGCACTTTTAATAAGTACAAAACAAAAATTCTAAGAGTTAAGAACATCACATTATAATTTAAAGGGCAGGTTTATTTTTAGTGGCATATAAATTAATTCTTCATCTTAAATTCATTGATGAATAAGATACAGTGAAAGCAAGTCATTAGGTAGCAAGATGCAAATCCTAAACCAAAGCATAAGTGCAGGAGAACCCACTCTGCCATGCTTGACTATCCACAACAGACACAAACTTCCATAGGAGCCCTGTACCCACTGAGTATCTAAGCTTTGTCAAACTTAAACTTTATTCATTGTAGTCTTCCTTGATAAAAATTCAGTATTACCCCCCTTTAAAAAATAATCTCCATAAGGATAATTTTCTTTTTTAACGATGATCATTATTGATCCTCAGAATCTAAAGTAGAGGCCTAATAAATATTTTATGAATAAACAAATCAAGGGATAAACCATTATATCTTCAGCTACAAGCATGTGTTGAGCACATTTTGTTCCTAGTCCGGATATTGGTACCAACCTCTGCCCTAGAAGATATTTACAGAAATAGATCATTTTTAATAAATATATATTGAGGCCAACTGTGTTACAGACCATGAGGAAGACATCACTGTGTATTTTTTTTAAATTCACACCTTGTTGGTTTATATGATTTTATATCTACCTTAATGATGAGAAAGCTGATTTTAAGTATAGAAGAGTATGAAAGGCTGCAAGATCTAAAACCCTATGTATGGTTAATAGTCTTATAACAACAAATGAGTAAACTATTTTTATTTAAAATTTTATGGAAGTACAATAGTATATATGCTCATAAAGGCACAGATTCTGAATGCACAATTAGATGAATTTTTACAAACTTAAATTTATCCACATAATCAGGATCCGGATCAAGAAACAAATAAAACAAAAATGCTGTGACCTCAGAAGGCTCCCTCATGTCTTTCTTGAATTATTACTATCCTTCCCAAAAATATAATCAGCACCCTGGTATCTAATAGCATGTCTTAAAATTGGTAGGTATTTTTGGACACACAAAAATTTTATAGATAACAGGAAGGCCCAAGAATAATATTTATTAGTGAAAGACTTCCTGTTTAGCTGTGTTATGCACTTCAGTTAAAAATAATTAAAACAATCATATCAGTTTCCTGCTCTAGTGAGTTTACAATCTATAGGAATGTAAAAGCAAATTCAATCACCATCAAATAGACCTGAGTGAGCTGTGTGCCCCAGGAATGGCTGCTACTGTGTTAAATGAGAAAAACTTAAAAAGCTTTTAATTTTCAGTCAGTAAGATATCAGTTATGAGTTAAAGTATTATGTGGTGGAAAATAATCGGTTTCTAAAATTGAAGTGGATGTGGGCTTCAATTCTTGCTCAATTACTTACTAGCATTGTTTCAATGAGCATGTGATCAATGAGCAATGTTTCAATGAGCATTGTTTCAATGAGCATATGGTTGAGTCTTTCTCAACCATAATGTAAAATAATAAATGAAATCTAATATATATAATATATAAATACTAGAGGCCCGGTGCATGAAAATTCATGTACTGGAGGAGGGTGTCCCTCAGCCCGGCCAGCCCCACTCACAGTCTGGGAGCCCTTAGGGGTGGGAGGCAACCCAGGGATCAAGAGAAGACGACACTCCCACCACACCTCTGTTGCTGCCACTGCCGGCAGCACAACCCTTGGCCAATCCTGGTTACCTGAGCTTTTGGCAGTCCTGGGAAGCTGGGCAGCTACCATCCAAAGCTTGCCTATACCTTGGGCTGGCCCTGGGTGGCTGGGGGATGAGGGATCTGGGAGACTCTGGAGGCAGGCACGCAGAGTGACGAGGCCTGGTCTTGCCGCATGCCTGCTGCCCCAGCGGGGCGGAGGGGTCTGGGTGCCACCATCTTGTGTGTGTGGGTGCTGCTATCTTTGAGGCCAGGGCGGTCAATTAGCATATTTCCTCCTTATTGGCTGTGAGCACTGCCATCTTTGTAACTGTGTGAGGGTCAATGAGCATATTCCCTCTTTACTAGATAGGATGTGATTAATATATTGATAACATAATAAATAATGATATGAAATAATATAATTTGGCCCAACAGATATCAGTTTCTGGATTTCTTCATACTTAAGCACATTCCTCAATCCTTTTATCCATGCATAATGAGAGCTTGAATAAGGAGGGAACTTTCCTAAGGTCATAGGATGTTTAGAACCAGAGCTAGAAAATGAATACACATTCCTCTTAATTCTAACACTATATTGACTACATTTATTACTGCCTGTACATGACTCGGATATTTGAATATAATTAATGTAACTTTTTTATTAAATGTGATAAATCAAGATTCCTTTAGTGTCGATTAACTAGACATTGTGGCATATACATAGAGGAGATCATTTTCATTCCTGTTTGAATAATAAAACATCTCAGGATATTTTCAAAAGATCGTACTGCCTAAAAGACTCCTACAGCAGACTTGGCTAAATTAGAGAGGTTTAAATGGAACCATTTTTACTGAAATGCCAACTGTTTAGTGACTAAGTGTGAGATGACTGGATATATTAGTAACAAAGAGGAAATCTACCTTGGTTCCAGAAATAATTTAAAAACTTAATCCAAAATAATTACTATTTTTATATTTGATACAGAGGGCAGGCAGGGAGGGAAAAGAGTTAGCACTAATGTTAGGATCACATAGATCACAGTTAGAAATACCGGGTTCTCTATATGGACTCTTTATTCGCTACATGACCTTGGGCAAAACACTTAAACTCTCTGAGTATCAACTTTTTTTTCATTTGTAAATGGGGATTGTAACAACTTTTTATGAAAGACCAACTAATTTAACATGTGTAGAGCACTTAGTATATAGTGCTAGGTATATAGTATTTAATAGTAACAGCTCTTATAATTATTATTGAATATAAGATCAATTGGGAAGCCACCAAATTGTTTTTAACTCTGGCTCTACAATACTGGCTTAATATGCATTATTATAGTAACTAAAATTGATATATAAAGATATATTGTAATAGTAATTTCTACACATGGAACTCAAAGAATATGTCATATACTAAACTAGTCATTTTGCACTGATTTCATCAAATATCATAATAATGCTTTATGATATATTATTTTAATTTTAAAGGAAAAAGGTCTCAGAATAAATAACTAGTCCAGGATCTTGTAACTAAGTAAGTTAAAATAGTCTACTGAAACTCATGTTTATATGATCAGAAGATTATATATCCTTTCCACTATCTTATTCTGTTTTCAATTGCATTCACTATTTCCTTTAACACAGAAAACAAGCATATATGATAATTGTACTCCAGGTGTTTTGTTGTTGTTGTTAAAAAAAAAATCAAAGATTCTAAATAACTTGTTTAATATCATCTGGTAATGACAGCGTACTTTGGACAAAAATTGTTCTTTTTCTATATTTTAAATATATTTTTATTGACTTCAGAGAGGAAAGGAGAAGGAGAGAAAGAGATAGAAATATCAATGATGAGAGAGAATTATTGATCGGTTGCCTCCTGCACACCCCCTACTGAGGACTAAGCTTGCAACCCAAACATGGGTTGACCGAAATTGAACTCGAGATCCTTCAGTCATAGGCCAAAGCCCTATCCACTGAGCAAAATCAGCCAGAGTTCTTTTTTTTTCTATTTTAACATTGTGATTTATAATATATGATAAGGGGAAATAAGTGTTTCAAGTCAAATGAAAAGGGGAAATAGAACAAACAGATATATTAATGGAAAAGGTGAACCTAGACAGTGCTCTCTTAAATTTAAAGAAATAGCAAGTAACTATCATTTATTAAAAGCTTTCAGGAGCAAAGATTCTTCTTATGGTATTAGAGGTTTTAACTGGAAAAAAAAAAAAAGTAAGACATATGACATTCCACAGAATCTTTTTCATAAAGAAAAAAAGAGCTGTTATTTCACTGAGCTGTTGCCATGGTTACATAAAACTCATGACTGTCTGCTAAAATGTGACTTCTTTTTTTCTTCCCTCTGTTTGCTTCCATGTGATGTACTTTTCACCTGATGAGTGAATTTCCTGGCCACATTTCACTCATGTCTATCATTGAGAAAATGTTTTTTTCCTCTTTGTTTTAATTAATCAAGACAGCTACCCCTGAACTACCTTTTCTTTTTATGGCTAGCTTTTCTGCTGCTTGCATAATACTGAGTCTAATTGTGTTGAGCATAGGTATTTGTACTTTAATACTATTAAGGACCCCTTCATCTCTGGAAATAATAGACTGTCTTAATTGATCACAAACATGCTTTTACTTGAAAAGATTTGGGCACTAAACAAACAGATAAATGAACAAACGTACAAAATATATGTAAATTCTGAATAAAAGCTTTTGAAGGAAACTACATTAAGTACCTGATTTTTAATATAGTATTTTCTTTCATAGAAATGCCTACCATCAAATACTATTAATCACTTTAAATAACACTCAGATATGTTGTAACTCAATCTTCTTTATTGTGTGATCTCTCTCTTTAGTTTTCTCATGCACACACACAAACACACACATATAGAAACCCAGGGAGAAAGAACTATACAAAATGTCTTCTTCCAGATTTTGAGTAAATTGTTGCTTATACTGGCCTGTTTTATCCTTAGCCATGAGTATCTAATGCTATTTTTAAAAAAGTGTAAGTTAGGTTCTAACGAAATCCAGTCATGCAGAGTTTCATTTTTCATGTTTGTTAGCATTGGAGTTAACATTTCTGTGAGTTTTAATTTTGTTCCATTCAAATACATTTATAAAGCCCATTCCATGTATAGAGAGTATTGTCCCAGGCTTTGTGGATATAAAAATAGATGGGAAATTGCCTCTACCATATAGCAGCTGACAATCTGGTAGACAAATATAGGTTTAAAAATAATGGCATGCTGTGCTATAGATCTGGACTAAATAAGTAATGGACTAAACGTACAGAATATAATGATGCTAGCACAAAGGGGTTAGAGTTAATTCTATTTGAATAACGACGTAGAATGTTTTTATTATAGTATAAATGAAAGGACAACATTAAAATATATGCCCCGATTGTCTGTACAATTGATTTTTAAGGAAATCAGAGTGACTACAACTCAAATTCTACATCCATTAATTAGTGGTTTATTTGGAATATAATTTGAGTCTAACTGGGAACAACATGGTTGACTTGAAATTACACTGGAGTCAGAAACACTGGGTTTTAGTCCTCATCTGTGAGACCTTGGGCAAATCATACTGCCCTTTGGGGCCTACCTTCCTATATAAAAGATGGACACTATACTAGGTACTATTAAAGGGTCTCTTAGTCTCAGTGTTCACAAATGTTGTGAATCTCTAAAACCTCTATATTCCCCCTTTGCTTTTAGTAAGAAATACTGAAAGCTAGGGTTTGGGGAGAGGGGAAATGGAGGCTCTGTATCAAAGGAACTATCAACCTAGTTAATTTGGAAGGTATTAATTTGTATAAAGGCTTTCTGATTTTATCTCACACAAAGTAGTCCAGTTCTTGATTTGTGTGTTCAATTCAGGCAAAAGCATTGGCTCCTGTGGTGGGTTTATTACAAAACCTGAGTTTGGGAGGTAGAAGAGATACCAGAACAATCTCCTGTTAATTAAACCGGTGATTCTCAGTGCCGGCTGCACATTGGAACCACTTGAAAAGGCTTTAAAATGCAGGTGCCTAAACTTCCCAGTGGACCAACTGAATATGATTACTGTTAGAAATTCGATGTGGGGAGCCCGTGAATTATTTTTTTAGTTTTGTTTTGATTTGTGAAGCTCCCTAAATGATTTTGATGCTGAGAACTACTGAATTAATCAATATACATAATTGATCTTGCCCCCAATTTAGTTCAGTGATTGAGCATCAGCCCATGATCCTGGAGGTTACGTTCCATTCCCAGTTAGGGCACGTGCTAAAGCTTTGGGCTCAAGCCCCAGAAGGGTTGTGCAGGAGGCAGTGGATTGACAACCTATCCCTCTCTCATTGATGTTTCTTTCTCTCAATCTGTCTCCCTTTCTCTCTCTAAAATCAATTAAAATATTTTTAAAAACTCATTTAATTTTAAAAGGACTATCACAGGGAGGTTGTGGGAATCAATGGAAACAAACAACTAGAATTGGTTTTCATTGTCACTTCACACAGTGAACACCACTCAATGTAGGTGAATGCAAATGTTCATTCACTTCACCTTCCTTATTTAAACTACCATTTGCTTGGTTTTCTTCAATGTCCACCCTACATCCTATTTCATTTTTAGCATGTTACTACAATTATAGCAATGTAAACATAGAACTACATTGAACCCAATGTTATAGCCATCTAGTTCAACACTTACTTATTAGACCCAATGATTTTTATGTAGAAATAAAATTAGCTGAAATCATAAAAGTAAAAAAAGGAACAGTTTTCCACTCAATAATTAATAAATAATTTGAAAATAATTACAAATAATAATTCTGTGCATTACTAAGTAGCATGTATCTCATGTAATTAAATATCAGTTAATATCCATCTCTTAGATATTATAACTTTTTTGTAATTTAAATAATACTCTAGACTTTCTGGGTCAAGTGAAGTTGTATAGTTAAGGAGAGCATTCTAACTCACTGAAAACTTCACATCCCACCTTAGCAATATTTTAAGCAGAAAGAGTGGTTGTGTGAGCTAGATGAGAGTTTTGCACTTTATAGATTAAGGCAGGAGGTCTGAGGCTTATTGAAACAGATTTCTTTTTCCAAGCACCTCTTTTTTCCAGACTTTTCTACACAAATACATTCATTAATCTTGGTAAATAGCTGACATTAATGACCACAGGTATTATACAGGGACCATTTTTCAACGAGCTTCAATAGGCTTTATTTGGAAAGTGTACAAACTTAGTTTGTGTTGTGGGGGTTGTGGAAGGGGGGGTGTGGGGACAGGTGGGAAACCACCCACATTTGGAAACTGCAGAGTGCAAAGTGCAAATATAGAATTCTTTGCATCTTGTTTAAATATTGGACTTAGTTCCATAAAGCTCTGCTAAATAAAACAACCATAATAGAAATGTTTGGAATACAAGCAGAAAAAGCATTCCTTTTACCTTGTGGTTTAAAATGATAAATAATTAAAAGCATATTTATTTGGTTACCTTTTGTCCCTGATTCAGAGTGAAAAATTCAGAAGAGGAGAAATAGATATTAAATTTCAAAATAGCAATCCCTTATCTTGTGCCTCTCAGTGTGCATACTTCAGGGAGGGGGGAGCTGATTTCTTCTGCAGCCAATTGAAAATAGTCAGGCAGAATGGGCCTGATCCTTCAGCTAAAGACACCATAACAGTGATGTCCTTAAAAGTAGTATAGAGTAGCCTTGACGTCAAGCTACCTGAGCATAATTCTTGTCTCTGCTACTAACTAGCTCTGTGATCTTGCACAAGTTACCTAATATCTTCATACCTTAGGTTTTTAATCTTTAAAATGGGAAAAATTAGTGAAACTATTAAATCATTTAATGTACAAAAACACAACAGGGTTTCACCATGCTAAATGCTCAATAAATATTAGCTATTGTTGTGTGGGTTTTTTGTTTGTTCGTTTGTTTGTTTGTTTGTGAATTCTCACCCAATGGTATTTTTTTCCATTGAAGAAGGCAGGGGAAGAGAGTGCCCATAAATGTGAGAGAGACAAATCCATTGGTTGCCTCCCGCACTCACCCCGACCTGTCACCTAGACATTGAACCTGCAACCCAGGAAAGTGCCCTTAACTGGGAATCAAACCCAAGACCCTTTGGTGTGCGGGCTGACACTCTAACCACTGAGTAACACCAGCCAAAATAGCTGTTTTTATTACCTACTTGAGCGTTAGGGTTCTTATATGTTTTTTAAAAACAAGATTTAATCTAAAGAATATTCCCCCAATTTTCCTGACTATTAATCCCCAGACATTTAGCAAATGATGATACTTTCCCAGGACCCTCCACTAAACATTCTAATCAAAGGGTCTGGGATAAGGCCAGGGACTTGTACTTTTAGTATGTGCTCTATGCGAATTTTGTTGTGAAGAAAATTTCAGAAACACTAATGTGGATAATTTATTTAATCATCTAAATAGTCATTCATTCATTCATTCAACAAATATTTAATAAGCTTTTACCATTTGCCAGGCACCATCCTAGCTGCTGGGGGATGAATCAAATACTCTTTTTATTAGATCTTAGGAGTCTGGTAGAAAATATGAGACGAATAAGCTCACAGATATCTATGTAACTACAATTGTGAAGTATGCGCTACAGGAAAAATACAAGGTATGATGAGGGTTCTTAATAGGAGACCTTTTCTGCTCTTGGCAGAAGAGATGAGGAAGGAGGCTTATACAGCTCTGCCTGAAGAAGTGATTGCTAAATTTCCTTTATGCTCTGCTACTGTATGTCCAGCCCACCTTACCTGCCAAGAGGAGAAGAAGGACGCTGGGCTGAGAAGGTTAGGGTTTTCTGGGTTGCGCCCTCCCATGAGTTCATCTGTGCAGATGTCACAGTTTTCAGCATCTCTCCAATCCCAGAATGGAATGGTGAAGTTCTCATCCCCTGTCAGGTCCTGGATGTCCTTTTCCCACATCAACAAGAAGAGTCTGTGCCAAGGAAGGAAACCCGGTGCTTCATGAGCAAAATCAACGTCTCTCCAGATTTCAGACCCCCCAAGGAGTGTGTCCATTGACACGTAATAGTGCATCCAGACAAAGAGGTCATAAATGCTGATGTCCTTAAACATGGGTGTTGACCCATTATTCATTTGGCCATAGGTGCCTATGGGGATGACATAGTCTGGGTTGGTAGTACGCTTTGCTAAATTGATGTAAGCAATAAATTTGTTCTTCTCTGGAACACTCAAATCAAAGATGTTCCTTCTCACCAAGAGTCGTCTCTCTGTGCATGTTGGTCCCCAAAAGCCATACTTGCACTTTCCACAGTTGAATCCCATGAAGTTGCCAAAGCACTGGCAGGTCCTGTTATAGAAGACAGAGGGCCAAGACTCCCGGTCATCCACCCCCGTGAAGGGGAATTGAGGCCCATGTGTTGCATTGGACAGAACAACGTCCTGACAGGATCCCCTGCCGGAAAGCTGACCACAGGGACTCCCATCACCTCTCCATGGTGGGCAGCATTCCTTCTCTATCAGCTTCTCGGAGGACACACAGGCTCGAGGGAATTGGCCTTCGGAGGTCTGGAAACTCCACAGTAGGCAGCACAACACAGCAGGTAGCATTCTTCCTCTAATCCTCACAAGGCCCATTTGCACTGTACAATTGAGTAACACAGTTTTCTTTCAGCTAACCCTCCAGTGACTATCACATGTTTTGGCTAAGTCCTATATAATGCCACTCCCACCTCCAGGATCAAACACTCTCAGTCTTTATCTTAAGCTTTCATCTTCTGAAAACCACATGACTAACTTTTCTTTGGAGTTGGCATGTATCCTGCAAGTGGGATAGCCCTATGTTAAAGTGAGAAGCACTCTTCATCATTAATGGATTCTTATGGTTAGAATGCTAATAAAATAATATTATTAGTAATGCCTGATCCTTGTAAACTCAGTTCACTGACTATGAAGTGAATGAGGTTTTGATTTTGAAAACAAGTAGTAGTGTCAGTAACAGAGCTTCTCCTATTAAGAAAATGCAGGATATGTTAGATATAATGGTTGTAAGGTAGATGCTCTTCAGAGACCATAAATAGAATAAGCCACAGCATTTGCAGGTCAGCTTTGAAAAAAAATTTTTTTTTCAGAGCCTAAAGATTATTTCTTGTATATGATTATATTACAGCTTCTTTATTTTCTATGAAGTATCAGAAGACAAATTTTTTCTAATACTCCTCCCTGATCATGGTGCAGTTGGCTGCTTGCTAGCTCTCTAAGCACTCATTTTCTGATAATTCCTAAGGATAAGTCACTTTGATAAGCAGATGATCTGTCTTATTTTTAGGACTTTTACTACTTAAAATTCTAAAAGAAACTTTTTGTTTTTAATGCTGTAGCCATTGCAAAGTTTTCAATTTAGTGAGTGAATGAAAGAGAATTATTATATACGGTGTCCCCCCAAAAAATGAATATACATTTTAACAGCTGATAGCTCAATTTTAAAAAATGAAATGTATGTTAATAAACACAGCCTTTATAATTATTCAATGTGTATACATTTTTGGGAAAACCCTATATTTCTACAAATATTTACTGATCATATAAATTCTTTAGGAATTCTTTCTCTGTCTGGTTGTATAGTGAGCTGAATAAGTTAAAATACATGAATAAAAATATAATTTTACCTCTTACACTAGTTTTCAAATGAGTACTATAGATCATAAATACCTGTGAATATATATATATATATATATATATATATATATATATATATATATATATGAGAGAGAGAGAGGAAGGGAGAGAGAGAGACATCAATGATAAGAGAATGAGAGAATCATTGATTGGCTACCTCCTGCCCACCTCCTACTGTGGATTGAGCCCACAACCCAGGCGTGTACTCTGATCTGGAATTGAACTATGACCTCTGGTTGGCAGGTGGATGTTCAACCACTGAGGCACACCAGCCAGGCAGTACACAAGACTTTTAATGGTAGTACATCTTGTGAACTGAGAATTCTTGAAAGAATTGCATAGTTGTTGTTTTGTTTTGTTTTTTAATAATATTCAAATTTTATTTAGGGAGTGCCTTACATGGTGGTGATAAGTTAGAAAGACTAATGAGAATTGAGACACTACTTCAGGCAGGCAAAACTATGGAGGTGGGAGCTGTGTTTCATTGGCAGAGTTAGATTCAGATGGGCTCCCCATGGAGGGCTTAAAAAACTAGTTTGAAGTAAGGTGAATTAAAGAATTAGAGGATAAGAATAGTCAAATCAAAGTTGCCTGTCTGAGATGTCTCACTTTCCTTATCCTACTTCATACTCAAAGCTGGGTGGTCCCAGAACAAGTTAGAGAAGTGAAAACTCTGAGGAAAGCAGCAGTGTCTGGGCTCTTGGCTGCAGAGTTCTAGGGAAGGTCATCATTACCCTGGTGTCCTTGGAATGTCAGCCTTGTCTGCTCTCTTCCTTTTCTGTTGGAGTGGATCTGGTGTAAAAAAGTCAAGGTTCTTCCATACAACTTTCATGAGACTCAAAGCAGCCTTTTTGGTTGGAAAGAGCAGTGTGTGGGTGAGGAGGAAGAGAAGAAGTTCCTATGGAAATGCTGCCTCTGGCTGGGATCAGGAAGTCATCACATGGTCTCCACAAGGAGGCTTAATCTTTTTTCTTCCTCCTTTCACAGCCACAAAGAGATTAAAACAGGGCTTCTTGTCTCTGGGGAGTCTTGAATCTGTATTACTTTTAACCACATGGGGCCTTTTGTAATTGTGTTCCATCTACTTGCGACAGAATTCAACTTCTCATGTTCCACTTAATGAAGAATTTTGCTTTACACTTGCCCCCTATCAGGCTTCTCAGTGAATAACTTAGAAAGCCTCCATCACACTCCTGGGCTTCTGTGTCTACATCCCCAAGTCTGTTTTCTCAATCTTCAGAGTGTGCTCAGAGGAATGGCTAAAATGTAGTTTGTCCTCTTAATTTCTTTTACAAGGTTGATTTCTTTAAATTAAGAGACCTTGTTGTGTTTGTTTGTTTTTTTAAATAAATTTTATTGATTTTTTTTTTTTTTTTTTTTTTTTTTTACAGAGAGGAAGGAAAAGGGATAGAGAGTTAGAAACATCGATCAGCCTCCTGCACACCCCTTATTGGGGATGTGCCCACAACCAAGGTACATGCCCTTGACTGGAATCGAACCTGGGACCCTTCAGTCCACAGGCTGACGCTCTATCCACTGAGCCAAACTGGTTTCGGCTGACCTTGTTGTTATTCTGAAATATAGGACACTAACTCCTCTGGCCCATATGTATATGTCTTATTGTCAATACAAACTTCTTAAAAATCAAACCCTATTTAGACTGGTTACTCTCTGAACTATAGTTGCACATTCTCTAGATGTCTCTGGTTTATAGAATTGAGTTTCATATTGAAACCAAAGTGTTGTGATCAGGTCCAAGTTTATTGTCTGGCAAAATCAAGAATGAGTTCACTGAAAAGATGGTTAAAAAAAACAAAACAAAACAAAAAAACAAAACAACAACAACAAAGTTTAGTGAAAGATAATTGGACTCCCTGCAGCAGGGAGCAGTAGGGAGGGGGCCCAAACAGGTTGCCGGATATGATTCTTTGTCTAGGGATAGATTTATATTTTGCAGGCTTGTAATTGGTTCTTTCAAAAAATTCTGCCTTAGCAACCAACATCCATACATTTTAAAGCTCACTTCTCTGGCATGCACCCTTCTTCCCCACGTAGCCGGATTGCCTTAGCAAGTCTTCCCTGCCTAGGTCTCATCCCTGATACCTAGCCCTCTTCTGTCTCCTCATTATCCTTTCCTGGGGGATTATTATATGAGTCAATCCGTCAGTTAATGCAATGCTCTATTAACCAAAATTAGGGGCTCAGTAAATACTTTGCAAATATTTGTTGAGCATCTATTATCTGGCATATGACAAGAGATGGGGATGCCATGGTAAGCACAACAGAGAGGTTTAAACCTTGTTAAGCATGTTAATGTCTATGAAAATAATATTTTAATTTTAGTAATTTTAAATCATATCTATAACTATGTACATAGATTTTAAATAGATTTTAAATGACTTTTTAAGCTGTTATTATAGAAAAACAAAATTGTGAAGGAAGATGGCAGGACCTATCTAATCTCATGAGTTAGAGTCAGTGAAAGTTTTCTGGGATTAGTCACATTTCAAGTGACCTCTGAAAGATGAATAGAAGTCTGGTTAGTGGAGAACAGTGGATATTAGAGCATTCCAGACAAAAGGGGTATATCATAAGCAAAGACCCCAAAGTGAAAGAAGCATGCATGTTCAGGGATATTTAAGATGGCAAACCCACAAGCTATGGAGATGTAATATAAGTATGGAGGTATACTAGTATATAAAGATGAGAGCATAGTCCTTAAAGGGTTTAAAGCAAAGTTTTGAAATTATCATGAGCAAATTAAAAAATTCTACTCAAGCTGCTGAGATGACAACAAATGCGGGGGATGGGAGCAAGAGTAAATGTATAAATAATTGTTAGAGATTATTGGAATAATCCAGGCAATAAATCATGTGTCTTAAACCAGAGTGATGATTCCTGAGATAGATGAAAGTGAATGGATTTAAGAGATATATAGGTGATAATTCAAGAGGAGTGAAAGGGGAACAAGATTTGGAGTTAACATCTTGGTTTCTGGCTTGTGTCATTAACTAAAATAAGAAATAATCAAGGGTAAAATGTTCATGGGAATTGAATATGAATTCATTTTAAACATGTTGAATTTGAAAGTTGAAGCTATTGTCTAGTCACCTCTATTTTCTGAGGTTTGCATTGGTCATTCACACACTCACTGGTTTGACCTAGTCAACCCTGCTCTTTTCCCTCACTCTGGTAATTTGTCTCTGCTTATTTATTTGATGATAATTTAAACATTCTTCTCTAGGTTTGTTCAATTTATTGAGTACAAGTAATATAATCAGCTCAGTTTGAATAACTCTCATTTAAAAAATAACTTGCTATGGAAATACTTAAAATAGTCAAACTAGAAAAATATAATTTAATGAGTTAGTCTGTACCCATCATCAATATTCAACAACTTAGGTTATATACTTGAAATCTGTATGCTTTTGTGAACTCAAGTCCCTCCGATAAATTCAATTTAAAAAAATCATCAACTATTACCTTTCTCTAGGCATTGTTTCTTCTGTCCCACCAAAATAAAAAGAAATTCTTAGTATTTTAAAACAAACTTCATATTTTCCTCTATAATCTCTCAGTATACATAGTTGGCAAGTAAGGACTTAAAAATATAGCCACAATAGCAGTGGCGATATCATCTCAGACAAAAAGAGAGAACAATAGTTCATTAGTACCATCTAATTTTAAGCCTATAATTAATTTACTTTATTTTAAGAAAAACAAGGTCTATACATTGCTTTTGGCTAGTGTATTTCTTACATTTAAAAATATGTTTTTTTTCTTCTTTTTAAATGCAATTTATATATAGAAGAAACCAGATTTTGTCCTGTAGAATTTCCCCACTTTTTACGGTTGCCTAATTTTATCACTACACATGTTTCTTTATCCTGTATTTTCTATCATTTCATAGGTTTTTCAATAACAGTTTTTTG